GGAAAGAGACAAAGACAGACCCTGGTCTCTACCCAATGCTGAGCGTTCCTCTCCACTGTAGCGGGGGAGAGGACAGAAGAAAGAGCCACATCCACACTTACTATTATTATTTTACATAGATGATTCCATTAACTATATATTTGATCAGCCAGATCCTTGGAGAGGAGCAACAAGGCTTGCCTTACCCATCTTTGGATTAGGAGTGAAGAGGTGGCCTACAGCTCCTCCTAAAGGACATTGAGCAACACACCTACACTCATCATTGTTCTCTGCTCCGTAACAGAATGTGTGGCAGATTCCTGAGGCGGCTGATGGCTGAGGAGAGCTGGCACTCCACCCCTGTGGGGCGCCTCATCCTTCCGGTGCTCCTGGGATTCCGCCTCCTACTGCTGGCTACCAGTGGGACGGGGGTCTATGGCGATGAGCAGAGTGAATTTGTGTGTCACACCCAGCAACCAGGCTGCAAGGTTGCCTGCTACGATGCCTTCCACCCCCTCTCCCCACTGCGTTTCTGGGCCTTCCAGGTCATGTTGGTGGCTGTGCCCAGTGTCCTCTACATGGGTTTCACCATGTATCATGGCATCTGGCATTGGGAAGACTCAAGAAAAGTGAAGAAGGAGGAGGAGACCCTGATCAGACAAGGGCAGGGCAGCACAGATGTCTCAGGGGCTGAAAGCCCCAAGCTGCTCTGGGCCTATGCAGCACAGCTGGGGGTGCGACTGGTCCTTGAGGGGGCAGCCTTGGGAGGGCAGTACCATCTGTATGGGTTCAAGATGCCCAGCTCCTTTTCATGTCGTCGAGAGCCTTGCCTCGGCAGTATAACCTGCCACGTGCCCCGCCCTTCTGAGAAGACCATCTTCCTCAAGACCATGTTTGGGCTCAGTGGGCTCTGTCTCTTCTTTACTCTTTTGGAGCTGGTGCTCCTGGGCCTGGGGAGATGGTGGCAGACCTGGAAGCAAAAATCTTCCTCTTCTAACTACTTCACAACTTCTGAGACCACCAGAAAACACAAGGAACCAAACGATAACTTCCCAGTGGTGGAATCAAAAGAACAGTTCCGAGTAGCAGGTGAGAAGAGCACCAATGTCCCTCATTCTTCTTTCTGACGATCCCCTCTTGGCAGGACCCTTCCCTCCGGGAAGTACAACTCCCACATGTTACAAAAGAGAAAAAACTGAAGGGATTAAACAAAAACAAACAAAACAAAACAACACCTCATAGACAGACAACAGTATGGTGATTTCCAGAGTGAAAGAGGAGTGGGGGGAGATAGAAGAGGGTATATGGAGCGGGATAAGTGGTGATGGAAGGAGACTTGACTTGGGATGGTGAACACACAATACAATATACAGATGATGTTATAGAACTGCACACCTGAAACCTATATAATTTTATTAACCAATGTCACTCCAATACATTAAATCTTTTTTAAAAAGTAGAAAACCAGGTTCTATGTAGATGTTCTGACCACTGCTCCCAATCCAACCCCATCCCCGTCAATTTGATGACTTCTTCCGATGAACCAGGACCAGAGTGCTCAGTCAGTTGTACCTCCCAGTGCTTCCATTGAGGTCTCTTCCCATTTAGAAAAAGTCTCAGCTTCTGCTTAATTTTCTACTTTGCAGAATTATAAAAACACCTGGCTCCACTCTGAAGACTGACTGGATGACTGGATCTTCTCCCCAACATCCAGTGAGTGGGGATACATCTCCATGACAAGTTAGAGGCTGTTGCCATGCTGCCTAAAGCATTTCCTTGAAGAACTCCTGCTTGTGCCTTCTTCCCAGAATTTCCTGGTGTCAGCATCACAATTTTCATGGACTTTGTTTGAATAAGTCAGCAGAAACATCCATGAAATCAAGCCTCACCCTTGTCCTGTGCAATAAAGATTGACTACTGTTGGTGACATTCTTGTTACTAAAGACAATTCTTGTCTCAGTGACTCTACTTACCTCTCTCCTGTGGTTCTACATTCTCTGCTTCCCCAATTTCAAAGTCCTATAACCCTGAATACCCCCCAGCCTTGCAGTAGATGTCACACCCATAAACTCTGGCCTTCCAAGCATGGATTAGATTTATTCAAACACCTGGCCACATCCCTTAGGAAGATTACTGTGAATTCAGAGGCTTATGTCCCCTGGACCACTGACAGCTCTGATTTCTGCTCAATTCTCATTCTCTTCTTGGTTCATGGCAGTTGCTCCATTGGCTCCAGCACACAGCACCTTAAATGTGAAGCTAAGTCCCTACTTTTCCCTCAACTTTACTGAAAAGACATATGCGCTCCACTGCTGTTTCGTGGGTAATGGTAAGGGGAATTTACATTATAGTGTGATTTGGGAGATAATTTAAAGCTGAATGACAGGTTTCTCTTTTCTTGAGTCTGTCATTTCTGTCCAAGAGCGTTCCAGCCTCCCACCTTTACGCAGAAACACTTCTCTCCTCAGTTCTTCCTTGTCCTCAAATTATCAACAAAGAGTAGTTACCTAATTTTGTTTCTCCTTCTGAATCCCAAGTTATCCCAAGTAAATGAAAAAGGGGCATCCCTAAGGAAAGGTATTTGGTTCCCTAAGAGACACGTTGGCAACAATTGGTAAAATAATTTTTCTTTCTGCTACACAAGTGTTTCATAAAGAATCCCTTACCTGAGCCCTAGCTGGTTTGGCTCAGTGGACTGAAGGGTCCTGGATTTGATTCCGGTCAAGGGCACAAGCCCAGATTGCGAGCTCGATCCCCAGTAGGGGGCATGCAGGAGACAGCTGATCAATGATTCTCTCTCATCATTGATAGTTCTATCTCTTTCTCCCTCTCCCTTCCTCTATGAAATCAATAAAATATATTTAAAAATAGTAATAATCCCTTATCTGATATAGCCAGAGCCCAGTCAAGTGACCAAGGACAGAAAAAAAAAATGTCATCATTCAGAATTTCTTCTTGATAGACAGCATCCCTTTCAAAACATATTATTCATGTGCCATATAATTCATCCATTTAAATTATGCAATTCAATGGCTTTTAGTACAATCACAAAATTGTGCATCCATCAACACAAACAATTTTAGAATATTTTCATCAGTTCAGAAGGAAACCCTATGGCCCTCAGGTATTATCCCCAAACTCCCATAACTCCCAAACACTGCTTTGGCACCCTTGTTAAAAATCAATTGCTTGTAGATGTATGACTTTTTTTTTCTGGATTCTCACTATTATTTGTGGAGGAGAGGCTGTCCCATGATGTGACGGCTGTGGACCCTTAAGACAGATCCAGCTAGATTCCAGTCAGAGTAGAGACCGTTTCCCATAAATCCCATCAGAGAATGTCTGATCAACCCCTACCCTAAGTCCCCAGGCATGGTTGTTCCTGGGACAGGCCTTTGCCCTGCGCTGGGCAAGCATGTAAGACATTTTCCTCTTATCTGGGGCTGGTCACACCACAGTACCACTATCCATCCTGCCCTGTGCTATATAACCACGTGGCACGGAGGATAGCCATGTTGTCTTGCTGCTGCCCAAGATATGTCTCATATGTAAGCTCCCTTAATAAACTCTTGATGTAATGTTGGAGTTGTCAGCCTCTTTCTCCTGTTTCTCAGCCACAGTACACTTTTCTAACAGTATTCCATTGATGTATATGTCTATCCTTATGCCAGCATCATGTTTTGATTACTGTAGTTTTGTAAAGGGTTTGAAATTGGGAAGTGTGAGTCCTCCTACTTTGTTCTTTTTCTAGATTTTTTGGCTATTTGGGGTCCCCTGAAATTCCAGATGAATAAAGTTGTGAATTAGGGAACCTCAATATTTTCAGTAAAGATGGACAGTCATCTTAGAAGCATGGCAGGATTGAAGACATAAGGATCTTAATGAGACAAAGGGCCTCATTTCTTAATACATAGGCAGACATACAGATACACACTCACACCACAAACACTCATGGCAAACACCAGTAACTGATACTGATAAGAACATTTCTTGCTCCTTGGTCCATATTATGACTCAGAGTCCTTATCAATATGGTATCTAAATTAAGAGATAGAGAGAAACATTGATTTGTTGTTCTACTTATTTATGCATTCATTGGTTGATTCTTGTACGTGCTCTGATCAGGGATTGAACCCACAACCTTGATGCATTGGGATGACACTTTAACCAACGGAGCTACTTGGCAAGGGCAATAATTTAAACATTTTAAAACTAGATATTCTGTGGGACTTTTATAAAAAAAAAACCCTCCAATTTGCAGAAACCACCTTTCTAAATCACTTAATCAGACATTCAGTAAATACTCATTGAGCATATTATGGGAAAGGCAGTGTCTGACATTGGAACACAAGAAGATTTAAAGACTTCATGAGTAAAGGAACAAAGTGGGAATAATAATAATAAAAACGCACCTCAGAAACACAAGATCAAAATCCACTAAAAAGAAACAAATAATTCCCTGAAACAGGCCAGCATGTTATTTGTTGAAAGCCTTAATCGCTGTTCTTGGGAATGGCTGGGTACCAAAAGGCCACTATCTGTGCTTCTGAATCTTAATCACTCCCGCCTAAAAAAACTTCCTTTTCACCCACTCTCCTGGTCTTCCACAAGCTACAGCTTCAGCTGCACTCTGAGCATTGCGCTCTCATCCGGGTCTTGACCTCACCAGGTAGGAGGATCAGAAACTGCTCTAGCACCAGCAGCTACAGCAGTGGTTCTCAACCTTCCTAATGCCCCGACCCTTTAATACAGTTTCTCATGTTGTGGTGACCCCCAACCAAAACTTATTTTCGTTGCTACTTCATAGCTGTAATTTTGCCACTGTTATGAATCATAATGTAAATAAATATCTGATATGCAGCATGTATTTTCATTGTTACAAATTGAACATAATTAAAGCATAGTGATTAATCACAAAACCAATATGTAATTATATATGTGTTTTCCGATGGTCTTAGGCGACCCCTGTGAAAGGGTCGTTTGACCCCCAAAGGGGTCGCGACCCACAGGTTGAGAACCGCTAATTGAGAGGATCTGCTCCTTCCCAGTATCTTGGATGACAGCCACTCAGTAGCAGATCACCCAGAGTTGGCATAGAGCAGGGGTGGGCAACCCCTGGCACACGCCAGTAACTTTTGCTGGCACACAAAACCCTTTATTATAATCTTCCCTTTAAAATTTTTTTCTTAATATCAAATTTTTTATTTTTCAGATAAATTCAGTGTAGGTGCACCTTAGATAAATAATTTTACATAACAAGTTATCTGAAAGACCATAGACTTGGATTGACAAGAGAGGGGAAGAGCAATTTACGCCTCTGCCTTAACTCTCCCTGCCTTCCTAGATCCGACCAGTATTTTGGTTTCATCCACATACGCTTGTGAATCTTTGTTCTCAGTGATGAATTTTGTTAAGTCTCGAAATAGGAGTAGCCTGACAGATGAAAGTAGTAGCTCGTGCATATCTCTGAAGGTCACGAAATATAAACCTGATGTAAAATCTCTGTCATCAGTGATGCAGCAGCAAAAGTCCCACTGATAATATCAAACGGAGTCATAAAGTTTTCTGTCAGACTATCAGTGTACATTTACACATTAAAAAATAAATGTATTTTTCATCACCATATCCTGTGTTTTTGTCGCTCGAATGAATTTTATTATTTCTTCAAGGTTCTTCACATACGTACACCTTAAGAGATATCAAGTAGGCGTAACATGTTCTCAAAAAATTAGGGTTGGCACGCAGAAGAATTTTGAGTCAGAGATTTTGCTGGTTTTGGCACGCACTCACGCACTCACAAAAAGGTTGCCCACCCCTGGGTAGAGCATCTCCTCTCCCTAGACCTCCAGGGAGTTGAACTATCTAAAACACTGATGGGAAGTCAAACCTGGAGAAGATCACCTAATCCTAGATTCCTTCCCCTGACTTAACCACTAGAGCCCCGATCAGCACTGGGTGAGTGCGCCCATGCCCTGAGAAGGGGTTTCCTCTACCTGGGGTCTGTTTCCTGCGCCCCCCAGGAAGAAAGCGAAGGAAACCAGGGTGATGGGTCGACCAGATAGCTCCCCAAACACTCCCTTTCCCGCGCACGGGACGGGAGTTTCACCAAACTCCCCGGAGTCGAGAGTCAGTGGGCTCTGTTGGGGACTAGGATACCCTGCATTTCTATGAACTCAACCAGACCGTGGGGCAGGAGGCTGAGAAAGGGCTCCTTTCCTCGGAGAATGAGGCTGAAAAAGACCGGACTTCGGAGAGAGCAAGCCTCGAGCGCCCAGCGCCTCCTTAAGCCCCATCCAGGGCCCAGCTGCACAGACCGCCCTGCCCTCCTGGGTGCAGCCCGCCCCAGACTCCGGCAC